AGGGCCCCCCAGCCCCCCCCCTTCAGCCCCCTTTATGGCCTCCCCGGGCTCAGCTGGGCAGCCCAGGAGCCGGCAGGTTCTGGGGAACGGCCCCGCCGCCCCAGCCCAGCCTGCAGCAGGGCCCTTATTTGCCAAACCTGGCAAGGTCTGAAGTGAGGGGGCAATCTGAGCAGTTGGTAGGAGGTGAATTTAAAACACCAAAGGAAGGTTGCTTTTGTCCTGTAGGCAGCAAACCCCAGGAACCTGCTGCCGTCACGGGCTCTGGGAGCAGACAGTGCTGGCAGCTCCGAAAAGGAGCAGGATCTATGCCGGACCACAGATCCGTTCATAAGCGGAGGCTCCAGGGAGCAGCTGGGATGCACCCCCCAATGTTGTTAATCCCGCAGTCGCGGTTGCTGGGGAGTTTGAGGGGAATGGTGCAGACAGCGGCCCGCCCTGCCGAGGCTCCCCGAGTCCCCCATCCTATTGCTGCCGTTTGCTGCTGCTCCTGCTCTTTGGGACGGGGAGAGGCTGAGGGAGGTGGGGGTCATCTGGCATTTTTTCAGGTCACGGCGCAACGGAGAATGCAGCCAGCACGGCAGCTTCACCCCCAGCACGTATCAGGGGTGCATGGAGAACAGCATCCAACGCAGCAACAGCTTGTTCAGCTTGATGTTTCTTGGCATTAGGTTTCAGAAGGCGAGTTTCTCTCTGCAGGCGTGCTGCCCCGTCTCACAGCGAGCAGCTTCTCCACAGCATCCTCACGCAGCAGCGAGCCGTTCCCACACTCATGCCCCATCGGCCCTGGCCCTGCCGCGGCTGCAGCTCCAGCCTGGCCTCCTGTAGCAGCCACCCATGTCCCACCTGCGTCCTGCCCATGTCCTGGCACCCAGCCCCAGGTCCCCAAGCACGAGCCTCAGCCCATGGAGGGGTCTGGGTCAGGGACATGGGGTGCGACACAGGGGCAAGCAAGGATTTGGTGAAGTGCGAAAAGGGTGACTTGAGAAAAGAGGTAAAGGAGGGCCACGAGGATGATGAGGGGACTGGAGCATTTCTCCTACGAGAAGAGGCTGAGGGAGCTGGGCTTGTTCAGCCTGAAGAAGAGAGGGGTGAGAGGGGACCTGATAAATGCCTATAAATATCTGAAGGGTGGGTGTCAGGAGGATGGGGCCAGACTCTTTTCAGTGGTGCCCAGCGACAGGACAAGGGGCAATGGGCACAAACTGAAGCCGAGGAAGTTCCGTCTGAACATGAGGAAGAACTTCTTCCCTCTGAGGGTGACGGAGCCCTGGCACAGGCTAACCAGGGAGGGAGTGGGTGGAGTCTCCTTCTCTGGAGATATTCAAGACCCGCCTGGACAAGATCCTCTGCAGCCTGCTGTAGGTGACCCTGCTTTGGCAGGGGGTTGGACTAGCTGACCCACAGAAGTCCCTTCCAACTCCGAACATTCTGTGATTCTGTGATGCAGAAGGCTGTATTTCATAAATACTACCTAAGTTAGGCACAGGAAACGAAACGGCAGCTAAAGCACAGAGATGTGAGAGGTGGGGCCCGGGGCACACTGAGGCAGGGTGCGCTGATGCTGACAGGTCCTGGGGGGCTGCTGGTGCCCAGGCTAAAGGGAGAGCAGTGAGAAAGTGCTCAACAGTTGTGCTCTCTGCTGTCCGGCTTTTACACCGGCTCCAGTCTCCCAGCTTTTAAAATTAAAATTAAATTAAAACAGGGGCTAGGAGTGCTCAAATGGTGCTCCCAGTTGCCTGGGCTAGGTCTGGGAGTTGCAGAGAAAAGAATAAAAAAATACATATGTAAACTGTTACTAAATGGGAAGAAGTAGCTACTTATAAAATACAATTTTTTTGCGTGAAACTCCTGCTAACTTCTGCTCTGAAGGCAAAAGGGAACTGAACAAGCATCACTTGTGTGTGTGTACGTGCAAGGGTACCGCCGCGGTACCAGCAGCAGCCGAGCAGCTGACACAAAGCAGGAGAAGCATCTGTTAAGGCAAGGCTTATGAGCGCAGTGAAAATGGCTGAGGCAAATCTCTCTCGAGGCTGTTGGCCCCTGCCACAACCGGGACTGCAGACTGCGTGGGAACCTGGCAAAGGGCTGTGTTCTCCCAAGGAGAGGATTCATGTTTTCCTGGGCAAAGGAGGGATCTGAAGGTGGGTTTCAAGCAGACTGTTAAAATCTGTGCCCCCTGTGCCCCTGCCCTGCTGAGCTGCGAAGGGGATCTGGGGCAGCTGCTTGCACCGCAGCAGCCTGGGAAGGTCTCCAGGGTGTTGGAACGGAGCATGGGGCCAGTGGTGCTTGCGCTGGGCAGCCTGGCCAGGCTGGTGCATGAATCCCCTTCGCTCAGCATTTCACGGCTCAGGCAGCTGTGGGCACACCCAGCAGCAATTTTTAGGAAATCTGAGAACTCAGGTGTTGGGTAACTTCACCTGTCTCTAGGGCTGACGGCACATGAGCTGATGAGAGCTTTAAGGATGTCCAGTTTGCTTTTCCGCAACATCTGGAGCTTTCAGGTGGGATGGGAAGGCACGGTCCTGGGCTGAGACATGGCTCCCTGTTTGATGCACGAGGGAGGGACAGCCCCAAATACTTTAAAGCCCAAGAGCACTGTGACTAAGGCAGTGACCTTCTTCATGGAGCAAAGCGCTGAAGTTTAGCCCTAGAAACACTTGCCACCAAGTGACTCAGACTCACGGGTGCCCGTGGCACAGCACCCACCCCCGGGACAAAAGAGATGTGGAATACTCTGATCAGGCTCCCGGGATCAGCCCTGAAGCAGCAAGGGCGTCCCTGAGCTGGGGACCAGGAGCCAGGAGCTGCCGCTGGGTGCTCGCTGGCCGGGTACAGAAAGGCGCTTCTCCTCTCCTGACGCAGCAGATGACCTCCAGTGGTCCCTCCAGCCAGGCAGCAGTTGCACTGGAGTTACACGAAGTTAGTAGTTACACTGAGGGCGTCACCTGGGATGGCAATACGGGAACATAAAGCCCGGACATCGGGAGTCAGGGCTGCGTTCCCCATGCACAAAGCAGCTGGAATAGCATCAGTCATGTAAGTGGATGACAGGTTTTACTGGTGAAAAACCCCTACAACTCTTCAATTTTTTTTTTTGTAATACATACTAGGAAGTGGTTTGCAGGAAAGGAAATAAAAGGTGTGATGGAGAGCAGTGCACGGACCACTATCACCCACAAACACAGCGCTGGTGTGTGAAATGCTGAGCCGAAAGAGCTCAAAGATTTCCCCATCGGGGAGGTAACCATGGAAAGTACTAAATAATTAAGTGCTATTGAGGGTTGCCCAGTAGCTGAGAGCGCAATAGTCTAATGCTTTTTCTGTGAGCTTGTACTTGGGTAAATATTGAGGCTTTTAAAGCTTGAAATGACAGTGGACATTGCCTAGGGACACTCTGTGCAAGGCCCTGGGCTGTGTTTACTCACAGACGGTCTATTATTTATAGAGCCCTCTAAAGGTTTTTCAGTCCGTGCGGTCCCTCTGCAGATCGCAGTGTCTTTGGGGTCAGCAGTAGGTCAGTCTCTGCTAGGACCGCGTTCCCAAAGACCGGCGCGTGCGTGGCTTCCAAAAAAACCCGGTCAGCCGCAGCTCTTGGTCAAGAGGTGCGAGACAGCGGTGTCTCAAGCTGCCCTGGTTTGCCCTGTTTCATTATTGCCAGATGCTTTTGGCTATTCTTTGGTTTTCTTTTGTAAGGCCCAGATTAGATTTTTACTGGAATCGGGCTGGTAAGGCTTCAAATCAGGAGAAAAAAAGAAGAAAAAGAAAAAGAAAAAGAAAGTAAAGAAAGGAAATCTTGCCTAGCGATGAGAAACACCCAAAGGCCAAGGTAAGAGCACTTACTGTGAAGAAGCGGGTATGAGTGCCTTCTGCTGACAGAGGCAGCACTCAGTGTTACCCTGCCTGGCTGCAGCAGCTGTTGATTGCCCAGCAAGCACCAATCTGAAATAAATATCCCCATCTCCTAGGAAAGAAGATTGCCCCCGCGGCCGGGAAGCTGCGGCTCCAGCGTGACGAAGAGCCAAGCCTAGCACCCCGGGGTGATTTTTTTTCCCGTGAGATTTAACAGGAGATGTGTTGTGGATATCAAGAAATCTAGGCTGGCAACAGATACAGGAGAAAGGACGAGGGGGAGCACACCGCAGCCCCCATTCACTCGCAGAGAGCACGGGGCTCCCCTGCGGCGCCGGGCTGTTGGTTGCCATACGTCTGCCTGCTGAGCTGCGCAATGACTTGGTGCTCACCGCCCTTACGGGGTGGTCACTGACCTCACTGGGCTTTAAATCAAAAAGCAAAAGAGATTTGCCAGACATCACGTGATTCTTCACTGGAAGCCCAATAAAATAATGAGAGTATATGACAAGGTGGTGTATTTCTGGGTGGTGGAAATCTTACAATGCCTTTTATTTGTCTTCATCTGAAAATACAGCAGACGGGAACAAACAAACAAGCGGCATGAAATATAACCCCAGCTTAGCTTTCAATTACTGGAAGGAAACTCCGTTTCGTCACACAATGCTCTGGTGTCCTCGAGCATGAACAGTTTCGCTGGGTTTGTAAATACACTCAGCAAATGTGGCAATCATCATTGCACTGTTGTAAGAGCGGGGCAAAAGCATTGCTGAAGCCTTATGAGCCGTGTTGAAAACTGTGAGCAAATGTTACAAGCTGTGCTAAAAGACATATTTTTCCCGTATGAAGGACAAAAGGGGCCTTTTGCCTCAAAATTTTGTATCTGGAGAGAGAGAAATTATCCAGATCTCAAACAGCTTTCATTTTTCTACACAGAGGGGTAGGGAATTGCAGACTGAGGACAGATTTGTACATGCAATACTGTTTGTTTAAATTAGCATTATTTCTTAAATCCACATTTTTTCCCAAGGCCAGACACTGCTTCTGCAGCTTGTCCAGTTGCTTTTTCTACCCCATCTTGTGCTGTCTTGGAAGCTTTGTCGATAGCTGCAAGGGAGGGAAAAATATAAGCAAAAAGCTTGAAAAATACAACATGGTTTAATATTTATGATGGAAGTGGGAGGTGTGAAAATTGTTAGATTATAAAAATAGATACAGAAATATCTTTTTGAATAAAATAAAGGGTTCCCCACAGGTGATTATAGTTGGGTTGGCAGGACGATTTTAGGATGGGCTGCAAAATAGGAGGGGTCACTTTGGGGTTCTGGGTGCTGAGCTGAAGCAGTGTGAGAAGAATGACGGGACAAAGCTGGCTGATGGAGGAGGGTGCTTAGGGATAAGAAATGCTGTGAATACTGGGCTGTTTGGCGAAGACAACCCTAGCAAGTGATAGGGAAGGCGAAGGATGCTTTCCCCTCTACTCCCTTCTTGGTTGTGTCTTTGAGTGACCACCGATGAGGGCTCAGGCACAGGGTCACTCCCACATGGGACCCAACGTCAGCCGGGGTGGGCACCCACAGCAGGGTCTCACCAGGAGGGAGGAGACCCTCACAAACAGGGCACAGCCTCTTCTCTAGGATCTCGGCTATATTTCGGCAACCTCACTGCCTCACAATCTAATGTTAACAAGCACCCAAGTTCTGCCTTCTCATCACATCATGGACCGTAGAGGAAATCTGCTCTAAGGAGATATTGCCAAAGCATCTTGGTTTTCGTTGAACATTTTAGATGCTGAAGTTGCTAATTCTCCCCTCATTCTTAGAAAATTACTAAAATTAAGTGAGAACTAAGCTTAGTTTTTAGTTTCACTTGTTCCCAATCCTCAGAAATGAGATGTCAACGCTGTCCTGAAGGCCCCTTTCCAGCTGCGGGATCATTAATGCTCGACCCCGGCTGCTGCCTCGGCAGGACCTGGATGGAGCCCTGCCCTCCGTCCTGGGGAAGCGAGATGTATCACAGGGTTATTTCATCCTCAACAGTGAAGAGCAACATTTTGTCCCTGCTGTTCCCACAAGTTTTCTGAAAAGGAGGCCAAAATCCGAGTGTCATGCATGGGGCTTGGCAGCCAGGGGCGAGTCAGCTATTGTGGTACTTCTGCCAGCAAACATATGGTGCTACTAAGGAACAGATCCTGAAATCCTGTCCCGTGAGATCTGTAAGAGGCCAAAAGCTGTCGTTGACACCAAGAGCTTTCAGGCTGAGGCCGCCCATGGGACAGAGGGGAATGGGCACTGCCCGCTGCTGGCTCGTGCTGAGCTGCTCCATCGCTGCTTGATTTGAACGTCATTGCCCCTACCTTTCCGGCTTGCTTCTGTAATCTGGTCGACTGCATCCTGAGTAGCCTGTCCCAACGCATTTGCTGTAATTAAAGACAAAATATTCATTTCCAGCTGTTCCCGTTTATGCTTATAGGAATTCCCTATGTGAATTGACTTCTCTGCATGTCCGCAAAAGGCTGTGGCCCTGGCAGGATCTCAGGCTGGTCCGGCGCAGGCTGAGGCTGTGTGCTCCACTCGTGGGCACCCTGGGAAGTACGTGTGTTGCCAGAGCACCTTGCTAGGAGGTTAGCGTTCCCCTAGCACTGACGGTCAGCTGAGCAAATCGATGGCAGATAAGAAAATAAAATAAAAAGGAGATAAAGCAGCAAAGATTAGCAGTGAGTTTGAATGATGACATTTAGCAGCAAGTTGCTTATTTTACACTACACTTGTTTTTATTAATTTTTCTAGCTTATTCTGCTTGGAAAAGTTTGGCCATCTAGCATGGATTTTTTTGCAGGCCGTTTGGGAGTAGTACCTTTTCCAAAATGGAAGGCAATGCATTAAACGGAGCAGCACAGGAAAAGGGAGATTTAACAAGCAAGATATAAACAGAAGAAGAGGAGCAGAAGCTAGAAATGGAACAGATCAACCCCAGAATATAAAGCATTAGAAAAGTGAGATGCCATGTAAGATGTTTGATGTGTTTACTCACAGATGGTCTATTACTTATAGGGCCCTCTAAAGGCTTTTCAGTCCGTGCAGTCCCTCTGCAGATCGCAGTGGTCTTTGGGGTCAGCAGTAGGTCAGTCTCTGCTAGGACCGCGTTCCCAAAGACCGGCGCGCGCATGGCTTCCAAAAAAACCTGGTCAGCCGCAGCTCCAGATAGCTCGGTTTATGAAAGAGCAATAGCCATCCTATTACTTTTGCAAGAAGAAGTGACCCCTCAATGGCATGAGTATATTAGGGATGCAGCAAGGACTATTTGTTTTTCAGAAGGGCGTACTATCACGTTGCTGGGTCCAGTACACATTTTCTTCCCAGGTGTATGGGAACTTACTGTAACTCCAAAGAGATCAGTGAGGTTACTCACATATTTCAGCTATACAACAAAGGGTTTGCAGGATCAGAATCCAGGACTGATATAAATTATACACTGCTAGGAGTGAGCTGCCCAAAACCACTGTAAGGAATATACTTTAAAATGGTAGCATAAGCTATACGAATCTCGACATTTTGCACTTAAAGGACAAGCTATTGTACTTTGCACTGAAAAATTGGTTTCCAATGCACAGTGCCAATGATAACACAGAGCTCGGCCTTACAGCATGGGCATAGCTATGGCAGAAATGTGTACACCGATTTTTTTCAGATCCTGCAAAGTGTGGTGGTGATCACTGCTGGAGAAGAATACAACAGAAACATACTTGTACTAATTTTACAAACAGTCCGTTGCAATCAATATAGTTATTACCAGAAGGCATTGACAGTCAGGACAAGCAGACAAGCAGCAAACATTAATCAAAGGTAAACTCCAGCTTCTTCAAAGGAGAGCAGTTTAAAAACCTCTGCAGAGCGTGAGAAAAGACCACCCTGAACAATGTAAATGCTAGATACGAAAGGTTGTTACTACCAAAACAGGCTTCGCTGCTTTAAAACCACAAAGTTTAAAGATCTGTTTGGGGGTGATAGGGGTTGGACGATGCTCAGTGGTGGGTGGAGGTGGTTGCCCATGCCAAGCCGAGAGCCATGGCCAGCATGGGGCCTTCTCCAGGCAGTGGCCAAAACCTGGAACTGAAAGAAAAGGAAAAGCTATATCCTGCTAGCACCAACGAAGCCAGCAGCGTAACTACAGGTTGTCATCTCTAAGTGAAAGCAGCAGCTAAGCCCCTCACAACTATACAACGATATTTAATCTTTCTTACCAGCATCTTTCGCTGCACCTCCAGTCTGTTCCTTCAGTCCCTGGAAGTTTTTACCCGACATTGTGGCTTCTGACACCTATAAAGACTCTCTGCTTCAATAACATTAAGCGCCTGGTGATGTGCAGCTCACCATGTGAGGGGTGTCCTGACCTGTCCTGGTTTTATACGTGCGCCAGGAGACCTGCTGATGCTTTCGGGGGTGACTGGTACAATGGGTGGAGTTTGAGTGGGCAGAATGGGAGCTGAAAACATGCACAGAAAAGCCATTTATTTACCCTCCCGATTGAGAGGGTGTGCCTGGGTAGAGATTTCTGCTTCATTGCACTGTCTTTGTAAGTTTAGCTTTTTTACAAATCCAGATCACTGAAAAAAACCTGTTTCACCACCACAGACAGAGAAAAGCACTGAACCAAGCTTTGTAAAGAGTGCTGGAAAACTACTGAAGAAGTGGTGCCTGGGCATGGCAAACTGTTGTCCCCGCCGGGGTGGCTTCTTTCTCCTTCCTTCATCCCCTTCATCCTCTTGAGACCAGAAAACAGACCAAACTTTGTCCCTTTTTTAGCAGTTTTAATCACAATCCCCTTTTCTTGTCAGGTGGGATACTGTTAGATAGTGAGAGTTGTAATTTACCTATATTTTTGTAAGAAACTGCAAATCTGCTCATCTTTCCAGTAGTCTGCTCAAGCAGGATTGCAAAAGCCCAGCATCACTGAAGGCCGTGCCCGGGTTAGGCAGGTAACCCCTGGCAGCTCTAGCAGTTCCCAAAAGAAGGAAAAAAAAAAGAAACCAAATTAGTAAAACCACCTTTTCCTAGCGTGGCTTTGTAGTATGGGTTTTGTTAGTACAGAAATAATGTTTAAAATAATTTCCTTACCTAGCTTCATTACCTTACCTTCACTACATGAATAAAAGTTGCTTGCATTTCACAGGTTTCCACTAGCCTTTAGAATTTATGTTTTCTGCCACAGATCCCCAGCACAAAGAAACTTTGTACCAATAAACTGTTGGCAGAGTTCGGGGCCAAAGGGCTCGCCGGCTTTGTGGGGCTCGGATTCCTCATCGCCATTTCCCAGCATACAAAGCACCTCGGCTCAGATGTTCACGCTCATACCCATATTCATCTTCCTGAGGAAAGCTTTTTTGTCAAGAAATGGGCACGAGAACAAGATGCTGCAGACCATCCAGGGTGGGAGGTGACAGCGCTCGTAAGTTCAGTGCTTCATTAGTACCCAAGTGAGGAAGAGCAGCAGAAAACCAGGTTAAGTGCGTTCCTCTGCCGCTCCCATTCAGCCTGTCATTGCAGAGAGCTCTTTTCAATTTTTGCACCGCTGGCCCCACTCGTTTATTATTTCAAACAGCAATCCTTTTTCCCTCTAGGCAGGCCAAGTAGCATTTTAATTACATATTCACATCAGGTATCTTTTTCGATTCCTTGCTGATTTCTTCTTCGGAATGATTTTCTTATGTGGATTTGCAAAAACTCCAATAAAAGACACACAATATTTTGAGGCTCTGGCATTTTTCGGACAAAATCTGCTAACGCAGACCTACTTGTCTCTCTTGACCAAACCCGAGAACCTAGCAACAACAGAACCACAACAAACTGGCAGATCTCAGCCACTCTCAGCCAGATCGCTGCCGCCCCGACTGACTTTGTGCAGAGGCTTGGTGAGAGCAAGCAAGAGGCTCTCCAGCACCCGCCGGGCAGCTCGCCACGGCTCGAGGGAGGACATGCCCAGGCTCCAGCAGCGAACGCCTTCCAGCTGCCCTCCCAGCTCTTTTCTGCTGCTGGATTTTCAGCTCAAGGGCCCCACTGACACTGGCTGGAGTAGTCTGCCTGGAAGGGCGAACAGGAGTTTGGGAGAACATTTAAAACCGAGGCACGCTTACACCAAACATTAAACATGCACCGCATTATAGCAATATTTTAGAAACTCCTTAGCAGTTCAGGTAAATATTGTTCCCTAATTCTGCTCTGATGACCACCATGATTACTCAAGCTCAAACTATTATTCTGCCAAGTGGAAGTCTTTGTTTGGATTCAATATGCGTGTCTGATCTGTGCCACTGCTCGCTTTATCTCCTGCTCAAAACATGAGCAGCACAAATCTGTGAGTAAAGCCTGCGCCGCTGTCAGCATAGCAGCATGACTCCTCATCTCCTGTAATCTCCTTATCGTTAATACCAGTACCCTGATTCCAAGCAAAAAAAAAAAAAAAAAAAGCAAAGAAAGCAAATTACACTTGCCTTAAAAACTGATCTGGCTTGATCATTATAATACAGCCCAATGTAGAGGGAAAAGGAACCTTTGGTATAGTCTATATTTGTCCCATATGATGAGAAACAAAGGTCTGTGCATCAGGTGGTGAGCAGAGCTACCAAACCACATCAGAAAATTAGTGGCATGTATTGCATTGTCTTTATTCACTTTGTGAGTTAACATTACTGTTTTAAAGCTAACACGAAGCATTTGGAACTGATGTTGGATATAGATTAGAGCATTCAGAAATGAAAAGGATGATTGACCTGAGCAAAATGAGAACTTGAGTTTCATCTTCTCAGAAATTTACGGCAATTTATCCCTGAGTTTTCATTTTGTTCTGTTACAAACATGGACACTACTAATGTAGATTGGGTCTACTTCTAGATTCTGCAAAAAAAAGAGTTTCTCTAAAGAATTTAACCTTCTTTTGGCTTCTAAAGGGAATAATATCACAAGAGAAACTGTTGAAAGCTTTTCCTGAGACAAACTTTTTAAGGAATAATAAAATACTAACTTCTTTCTAATTATAGATCAATGAACTAAGCAAACTACCCATATGGCTTTAAGTTCATTCCTGTCCTGGTCCAAGCTACAAGTTATTTGATTTACGTTTCATTGCATATATCTCCTGCTCCCAGGTGTAAGTGTGCGCACAGACGTTGGTGACGGGCTTCCCTGGGCCTCTCACAAGTGTCACGAGCTTGTGACGAGCGGATGGCCGGGCACTGGCCACCTGGGCACTGGCCTTTCCCATGACTTCAGCTGAGTTCAGCGTGTTCTTGGCTGCCCTGGGATGCCTGTGCCTACATTTCCCAGAAAGGAGGCTTTCTAACGTGTGTCTCTGGATTGGTTGGAGTGAAGCTATCCTGAACATCTGGGTAAAAAAATGAGCTTTTGCAAGGACTGTTCCTCCTCATGAATCCCGGTCTTTGACTCTTACATATGCTTTTTTATAGTCTGTCATTCTTCTCAGAGAAGACCAAACTATCACGTGACAGACCTGGCTGGCAAATATTGTGGGACTGTTCATTTCGCCATTGTCAGTTCTCAACCATGTTGTCTCACGACGAGAAAAGATAAGGGTGGGGCAGGATATTAGAAAGTATTTTGAAAGCTAAATTCCAAAAGGCTACAGCCTCTGTGCTCCTTGTCTCCTGACATCTCCACGGTATTGACCCAAAGCTCCAGCCTGTAAGTACATCTCCAGTTTCTACTCCCGTTCCTCCCATGTTTTACCTCTTTCCAAATGGGTTTCTTGGTCTTTATATCATTCGATGTGTCCTAAGGTCAACTCAAACGGCCTACAGGTGGAAAGTTAGGTTGGACTTCTGCTCTGTTCAGCTCTCAGCATCTGCTGAGGCTGCAGACAGAAATCCCGGTTAACGCCGGCTGGGGCAGGTACCACAGTGTGCAGGCAGAGCCACACGCCGAAGTGCCAGAGAAATTTCAGGCTATCCCAAAAGTTACTCCACCTGGTAACGCTGGGGCAGATTGCTGGCACTGCTTGGCCAGAGCTGAGATGTGAAAAGTGTCACCACCCCAGCAGCACTGTCTGCTCACCGCCCACGCGTAACTGGTCCCACCAACACGCTTCTCCCGTGCCTGGTTCCTTGGGCTTTCCCTCCATGTTCTGCTCTGTCACAGTCTGTTGCCTTTGACAAGCAGTAGGTTGCTTCTGTTTGGGGGGGGGAACCCAAACTGATTCCTTAATTGCTAGGAGGGCTCCATGAGCCACAGCTCACTCTGGAGCTAGTTTACAACCCTAAACACACAGCTCAAATAGCTGTGCGGTAAATCTAAAGCACTGCAGGAAAATTAGAAATTGTTCTGGTTTCCTTTCCTTTCACACCTCTCCTCTGGCATATTTCAGCACCATCTCATGTCTCAGTAACAGGAACCTTTCTGTTTTTATTACCTGTTGAAGACGAGAGGTAATCGATCAGAGCTAGAGCTCATGTTTTACACATGAAAATGGGCAAACGGTTAATTAGATGAGTTTGAAATAAGGCCATTTTGTATGGATTTCTTTACCTTCTGGTGTCTGAATCTCCAGGCAACATCTAGGTGAAGTGTCCAGTTTCTGCCATCTTTTGGAGCACTGAAGGCTAAAACCATGCTTAAATACTGGGATTTTTGCGGAGTCTTGTGAGATCCTGCAGCTGGAGTATTAACAGAAAAAATTGTCTGGTCTTGAAATTGCAAGAGTTAAAAAGAGGAGGAAGGCTTGACCTTAAGAACTGGCACAGGGCGAGGGAAAGAAAGAACTGGTCCTGGCGAGGAAAAGCCAAGGACATGAGCTGGGATGCAAGCCGAGGGCGAGGACTACGGGAGGGCTGTGGACCTGTTTCTAGAGGCACTGAGGGGAAGGAGCTGGGTGGCTCTGCCCTGCTGGAGCATGGCCGTGCTGCCCTCCCCACCAGGGCTCCGGGGCACAGCACAGGCGGAGAAGCAGAGCTACCCAGCTCCCCCATGCAGGAATCCACACAAACCAGCAGGGCCAAGGCTCAACAGAGAAACTGGGCTGCTAGCAGAGCTGATATTCAGAAAGCTAAGTTTTCATCTGAGTTTCTTCTGCTATGCTATTAATAGTACAGACTACCTTCATGTGGGGTTTCAAAGCACTTAAGAGACAAAATAAATTACACTTCAACACAGAAAAAAGCGTCAAAGTGGGGACAATGTGGAGAACAGTATTAAAAAAATCAGCCCTTCGGTTTTTAAATCAGGGACTCTGAGTTCAGTTTTAGGACATGCACTATGCAGACACAAAAATAGGACTTTCAGATGAAGTGGTATTTTAGGAAGTGTATTATTACCCCATTTGCATTTAAACTTGTGGAATGCGTGTTGAGATATTCTGGAGAGTGCCACTGCTTTCTCTTCTGCATCCCAGACAAACATCTTCGAAAAATCAGGCCCTGCATGTCCTTTAGCCCTTGGCTGAAACACAGTTGTGGGAGGAGCTCTTAAAGGTTATGAACTGTATCAGAACAAATCACTTAATAAAGCCTAACTGTAGTTTTATATGGTAAGCAAGCTTTGCTGTTACAAGGGGAAAAAAAACCCCAGTGTTTCAGCATTTGTTGGTCACTTGTATGGCAAAGTTGAGGGAACACTTGGCAGTGGCTGTTCCTGTCTCGTTGGATTACCGCGGAGGTCTGAGCTCGAGCAGCCGGTGTTGTGTCATCGGGACAGACTATGGCCCTGCCGCACCATGCACCGTCTCGTCACAGTGGGATTAAATTAACAGCTTGTACGCAAGCGGTATCACACATACAACGTCCATTTAAATAATTCATAGGTGAGATGTGTAACAGAAACACTTGATCACCCAGACCATGACCTCTCAGCAGAAAGTTATTTTGCTGGTGTTTGCCTCCATCAGCTTTTACCTGGGGCAGGGGGATTCCCGGTATTTCCCTTGTGGAAGCACCTTCTGCCGCGGGATGTCTTCTGATGGATCTCCTCCATCCTTCCATTTTTCAGTTTCCTTCCATCACCTCTCGTTACACTTGGCTGAATACTCATTAAAAGCCCAGATTTACTTTCCACACAGTGAACCAAACCGACATACAAGAAAGTTTAATTGAATTAATAGATAATCTTTTGGCTCTTTCATGACAGACTCTCCTACTTCAGGAGAAACAAGTGTTTGCCCTTGTCACCTCCGACAAAGGCCGCTCAGACTCCACCTCGGCTCTCCCGGCTGGGTGGCAGCCAGTCGGGGGGGGCAAGGGGACGGATCCAAGGCTCACCGAGCTGTTGCATGGGCACAGCACTACCCACGTCCCGATCTCTGTCTTTAAGGCTTGTGGTTGCCTTGCGTAAGATGCATAAGGGCTCCTCCGAGCTCTGACCGCAGCAGGACTGGACCAGACCTGGGCAGGGGACTGCTGAGCCTCCATCCAGCCTAGGCACCAAACGGTGCTCCAGGACATGGGCAGCAGGCAAGCGCAGATGCAGACCTTTAGGTGCCCATACGTTAGGCAGTAGTCGAGCGGTGCTTTTGGGCTCACAGTACTAGATATGGGTGTATAAACACCGGTTAAATCCTTCCCTTCCCACACAGAAGAAGATGCTGTAGCACACCATATCAAAGTGGAGTGCTGCAAGCCTCTCTCCTATGGAGCTACACAGAGCAGTGTGCCCACGCTCTTAGCTCAGCAATTGTAATTCTGTCCTGGTGCAAAAGTCCTTCTGAACCAGGGTGAAGCCTGCCAAGAGACAGGCATGCGAGGAGCGGCTCGCTCCTTGCTTTGAGCTGCAGCCTGGCCCAGCGGATACCTGCCTCCCACATGTGCTGCAGCTAGCGAGCCCACTCACCTCCTCTTTTCTCCTGGCTGGCAGAACACATTTTCTGCATCCCTATAAAGCAAAACTTTAGAGCAGAGGGCTTTTTCCCTGTCTCTCTCTAGCGAGCACTAAAAACAGGCTCCAGCCTCCTGCTGCTGAGCATGAGTATCACGGCTATTTACACCCCCTTCCTTTGGCCTCAGTTTTAGTTATGCTGTCTAATTGGCAGATGTTTTGCAGGACATCAGAAAACAGTATGCACATATCGGATATAGCTTCCTCTGAGGGGATCTGTTATCTCTGCTAGGGCTCTTTTGTTCCCTTTCCTTGTCGAGATCAAACATCCACTCTGGATGGAAAGCCTGGGGTCTCTGCAAGGCAATGCTTTACGGGTACTGTTAACCCATGAGAGAGGCTGATATGCTTGCTAGATCCTTCCACGCTACAGCAAGTCTGTACTGTAATACCTTCTGTAGTGATCATCATTATGCAGCTCAGTAAAGGTTAATGGTCTGATTCTGAAGCAGCTTAAATCTCTACAGTTTGTACTGGCTTCTCGTGGATCCGCAGGTGCTGCAGGTGAATAAAAGACCCCATTTTTAGAGCCATACTTACTGACGTGAATCATAGAATCATTATGGCTGGAAAAGACCTCTAAGATCATCAAGTCCAACCATCAGCCCAACACCACCATGCCTGCTAAACCATGTCCCGAAGTGCCACATCTACACATTTTTTGAACACCTCCAGGGTTGGGGACTCCACCACCTCCCTGGGCAGCCTGTTCCAATGCCTGACCACTCTTTCAGTGAAGAAATTTTTCCCAATATCCAATCTGAACCTCCCCTGACGCAACTTGAGGCCATTGCCTCTCGTCGTGCTTTAATCTCATTCTTCATTATTTGCAGCAATGAGCTTGTAGCAACATTTTCCCTTTCTCTACGCTTGTGAACGCAGAAGGTCTCCACTGCTCTCACTCAGCAGCTTATCTGCAGACAGACCGGCTGCTGTAACTGGTACCAGCCCCAGTGATCGCGTTGCATCAGTAAATCTCCTTTGGCACCCGTTATCAGACTCACGTGTTTCACAGGAATCCTGCCTGCCCCTGCCAGCAGCTCTGACCTAACAGGTCAGTGCCCATCACGTTTCCTTAATTACCTGCTAGCCATTCGTTATACCCAGAAGATGTCAGGATAGAGTTTTCAAGCTCTGGTGTAAGCAGAACAAGCAGCAAAGAACGAATACTAACCGAGCTCGACGTGGCTTTCATGTTCCTTTATAAAGCCTTCTTCTTTCCAGTTTCCCACACACCACTCTTTCTTAAACATGGGGGACTATTTTAAAAGTTAAATCTCTACTTTTCAGCCCGGAGCGACAAAAAGCAGGCCTACCTACTCCATTGACTTCAGAAATACAATTTCTCATTATTCCGCATCTTTTACATCATGATCTAAGGACCTTACAGTCCTGAGACTCTTGTATTTCAATACCACAGTTTCACAGGAAGAGTTCATCAGTTTGGAAGCATCAGCGTCTAAACTATGCAAATAAAACGAACAAGTAAAAAACTTGTTCAAACACTTTTTTATTAATTAAAAAAAAAAATTGCACAATACCTAGAGATCCCAAGTGCCAGTGCAGATGGACGTGAGACATGGGTCAGTGAGCCTGACCAAAACACGCAAAGCGAGGGGGTCGGGAAGCCACGAGGGAGCTGGGGAGGGAGACACGCACCCCAGTACCCGGCTGCGCTTTACTTACAATCAGAGGAGTCTGGCTTACATATATTTTGTGAGTGGTTTATGAGGGAGGTGAAAGACTACAGAGCTGTTCTTTGGAGAGAGGGATTTTCCTGTTGCAGTGCCAGCTAATATTTCCATGTATGCTCTTGGAATGTTCTCTTTGGAGCTAGAAGTCCCAAAGTTGATCAATTGCCTTCATTTTCACCCTGTGAGGGAAGACAGACAGGAAAACAGTTAAGTATTTCCAGTGGTAGACAGATATAAGTAAAATTAGGAGAAAAATCAATGCTGGTAGTCCACACATAAAAACCCATTAAAAACTATGTAACAACGACTTTATGTGGTGCAGAAAACAAAGGAATTATCCCTTCCTTCTGGGAAATCAGAAGTGCTCTCGCTGTAACTCAGACCTCCGGGGAAAAACGAGGGTGTGATGTCGCACGTGGCTGAGGTCGAGCTAACGCGGGGCTGGGCTGGCAGCGGCAGGAGGGTCCTGCCTTCTGCTGCCGGCTCTGCCTCCCGCCCTGACGCGCAGCTGGACATCGGCACTTGGGCAGCCATGAAGTCAGTCGGATTAGCGGGGCTCGGTTTA